ACGATTTAACAAATACTATGGGTGGTTTGCGAAATCTGGGCCAGTGCACAAAAAAATTGGTCAGGATTGGAAATTAAAGTAATTTGATAAGGGTTAAAGGTTGCTTCATATAATTGTGAAAAAGTCTGCTGAGTAAGAATGTTAAAACTACATAATAGGGGTGGTATTCGTGCTTCAATGTATAACACTGCATTTGCACTATACTTTGGAAGTCCTAAGCAGTACCGTAAAGCCACTCTTTCTAATAGAACGAGCGGCCGAAGCTTGTAGGCTGGCGCACCAGAAAAAAGAACGCAGCCAAACTCTTACACAGGTCGGACATACTTATTGTATATCATCAAAAGTGCCTTCCTTCTCATACCTGATCTACAATTGCTCAAACTCCGAAATACGCCCATTGCGCGTTCTGCTTTTGTTGCGATGTATTCAATGGGAGGGCGCCAATTGTTCATTATACATAACTCCAAGGTATTTCAATGATTGTACTTGTGGGATATCTTGGAGCTTGTACTTAATAGATATGTGCACAGGATCTTGGACAGGAAAAGCGAGAATAGCACATTTACTGGTATTCAGGTCCAACATCAATCCATCCAGCCAATGTTCTATTTAATTTAAACATGCTCACAAGATAGAGTGTAAAGACAGTGGATGTCATGTGCCATTGCAAAGAAAGCAATTTCGTCGGGATAAACATAAGTTTTCACATCTGGCTGAACGTGAACGGTACTAAGAAATATGTTGAATTGAATACTACGAAGCAAAGTATACTGACCCCTGAGATACACCTCGGGTTTGCTTGTGCTCAGAGGAAGAAAAACCGGCTCGATAACAACAGAATTCTCTTCCACTTGAAAATTCCGTCACCCATGCTACAATATAAGGCGGGAACCCGACTCCATAACTATTTATTCAAGATAAAATAATCTACGCTATCGTATGGTTTACATATGTCTAACGTTACTAAAGCCGCTTACTGCTTTTTGTGGTAGGCAATATGAATACGACTTTCCAGATCTACGTGTGCATGTCATATGGAATATCCAGATCTAAAACCAATTTGGGAAGAACTCAGCAGTTGTTTCTCATTAATAAACCTAATTATATGGCCATGAATGCCCTTTCAGTTAGTTTTACTACTGCATTATATGTTAAGGCTGTCGGTCGTATATTGTCTAACTTACAGTCTGCCCCTTGTTTCTTAAGCAATGGTATACTTTTCGCAATCTTACATTCATAAGTGATCCACGCTCTTCTAAGGGAATAATTGACGAGATCTAAAGATTATTCGGATATTCCTGTGTAGTGTTTTAGCATTGTGTTTGTTATTTCATCGAGGCCTGGTGCTGCATTTGGCAATCTTTCTATAGGCTGATTTAATTCGGAAGTTGATATTTCTGTGTAGACATAGATGGCTGGTGTCTAAGCCGAATTAGGGAGACGCATTGAGAACCTGTTCTCTAATCCTTCAGCCAACTGATTAAATGATTTCTGTAGTTCTTGTGAGGTGTGAACTACTGAGTCAAGTTTGCTGGTATAGGGATCTTCTTCTTATTAAGATGGAAATTGAATAAAGCACGTTTGTTGTTCAATTTAGACAGGTACTCGAAATGTTCTTGATCACATTGCTGTTTCGCTCGCGATACAGTGCGTTCAAATGTTGCCGCTATGAACAAATAATCCTTCCAAGTTTTCGGCCTCTGAACACATATAAGTCTTTTCCATGCAGCTTTTCTTCTTATATAGTTTCGTGTGCACTCAGTATTCCGCCATCTGCTAGGTTGGGCACTTTACGTTGATGCCGAAGCAATTAGAAATTCTGAACTGTTCTTGAAGATTTCTAAAGCGGAAGAGAACATTCCTGCCGAGGTCTTCATTTTGGCCACTATACACTGCCCTAACATTTGAACGCAAGCAGTCTTTAATTTTTTTTGTAATTGATCAATGTTTTCTCGGTCCTTTTAAGAAATTTCACAGGACATGCGATTTCAAAGTATACAGGAAGATGGTCACTCTTTGAAGAGAAATAAATTGTTTTCCAAAACTTTACTGCAACAGTCGAGCTGCAAAACGTAAGATCTAATATCAATCGTGTCCGCCCGCGAATAAATGTTAGCTGTCTTCCGTTTAGGCAGATAAGGTTTTTATTAATCATTCAATCTCACAGAAGAGTACCGGAAGGGTCTGTTCGAAATCCCCACGAAACATGATGCGACTTAAAATCACCAGTCAGAAGGAAATCATTCTTCCAATTAGCTAAGGCAGTATCTAATTATTGAGTATCAAGCAAACCCGTAGGAAAATACGTGTTTATAGGTGAAAAAGGGTGGTGCCCTGGCAGACTGAGGTCTATTGCCAAAATTTCACAGTCTGAAGACACAAGCTGAAAAGCTATGCTCGCTGTGTGGCAGAATTTATTCGAGACTAGTATAATTACACCACCATCTAGTGATGGATGGTCTAGCCGAAATGCTCTAAAATGTTTTACATGATATTCTTAGCGGAGTTAAGCCAGGTTTATTATAATATGATTATATCCGGATATAATTGAATAATTAAGCAAAGTAAATCAGTAGAAGCAGAAATCAAAGACCTACAATTCCACTGTACTACTTTCAAGGTATTTATGTTGACGAACGAATCACTTCAGCAAAGGCGGCTTCTAAAATACTCTCTTTCATAAGTGCACTGGCATTATCGTTGCCATTTTTTGGTTTTGACTTTAGGCAAAGAGATTTTACAGGAGATGCAGTGCGCTTCTGACGCCTGAAATCTTGGCATACGTTCATTTCATATTGATCCTCCGCGTGGGTTGACGTAGAAGGTTTAGACAAAATCGAGGTTTCTTCTTCTCGGGGTTGCCGCTGTGGGGCTAAATTTGGCATCTCTTCTACTGCACAAGGTGTCCACGTGGCTATCGGTACTGCTACTGCGGAAATCAGCTGTGTCACTTGTGAGCAGCTGGTTTCCAGCTGCTCACAAGTGACACAGTGAAGCAGCTGGTCTGTCTGTCTGTCTGTCTGTCTGTCTGTCTGTCTGTCTGTCTGTCTGTCTGTCTGTCTGTCTGTCTGTCTGTCTGTCTGTCTGTCTGTCTGTCTGTCTGTCTGTCTGTCTGTCTGTCTCTTTGTCGATCGATCAATCAATCGATCTAGCCGCTTACATCTGGATTCGTGAACAACCTCTTAACTTGACGCGAACCAAAATTACTATTGGGGGCGGGTAAGATGGTTTGACAAAGATGACACGCTGGTTAATACACGAGTAATGTAGCGGTCTTGTAGCGCACATCGCCAAACACTTTCTGAAAGACAGTAGCACATACCAGTGGGTGGGTATGTGCCACAGGTGACTGACACTAAGTATCTACCCAGGAACGGCGAGAACACACATGGCTAATTTTAACGCATCAGCGTCAAGGAAAAAAAAGCTCATATCGGTGGCGTCAGTGCGACGAATGCAGACAATAAATGTCAGGCTTCCAGGAGGAATCAGACCGAAGTATTGTGCGCGTCAATCAAGTATTCTACCACAGAGCTATGCCAGGTCTCGGAACAAATTTTCATATATACCCTGATGTTCGTGAAATGTACACTGTGGTTGCAGTGTTGGCTGTCCATTTCCATAAACATTTATATGTACTCCTATGATACCGTCGTCACGTCTGGTTAACGTCTATTTTAGTTAGGTGCCATTCGGTGAAGTTGATTTGTGTAGTAGCGTCCAAAACTACCATCCCCGCGAGCAGCAACTCCGCATGTCAGCTTATAGCTGGCGGTTTCGATGATATTCATGTTACTGTTGGCATATTTGCGCAACAGCAAAGAACTGGTAACATAAAAATCTGCAACTGTTCAACATATGTCTGTGCGTGCAGCATCTCTACATACATATAGCGTCATTTCATTACGTGTCGCTGAATAAAAAGTTACAACACGGTCGCATGTTCTCTCAAACTCAAAACTGCAAGACACGCCACCAACGCAAACATCGCAACACATTCCAAAATACGGAGGAAACTGAGAGATAAGGTGCAGCGCCACCCCAGTATTGGGGCGTGTGAAGCACAACGACACCGAACGGCTAACGCGTGATACTTAGGAGGTATACGGTGGCGGCTTCATCACGGAAGCCAATCGAAAGGCGCTTCACAGAGTGTTGCGACTCCTTTCGAAATCGAAATACCTTTTTCTCGTTCTAGGTTCCAAAAGGAGTCAATGAAGCCTCGTAGAGAATCATGGGGACGATGCCATCTACTGATTATTTTTTGAAAGTATACCGTATAACACTGCTCAAATACTGCATACTGCTCAAATAGTATTGCATCTTCCTCTTAATTACACTATAAGGGAAATACTTTTTAGGTAATACAGATGCAGACAAACGTGCAGGTAATACCTTTATACACGCTGCGGGGATTCAATTCAACAAAACGAAATAGGAAGGCTTGAACGCACGGATTTGTATGTCCGATTTGATAAGAGCCGCAACAGCATATGCATGCTTGCACGGTGAAACGGTCTCTTGTCTCTGGCCATAATGGCGCGGAATCATAAACTGGGTAGCCTGAACCCCCGGCACGTTAGCTCTTCATTTTTACTTAGTATTTATCACCATCGGACTGTGCCACCACATCTCATCTTTTTTTGTTTTTTTTTTTAGACTGGCATTTACGATTGCTCCAGGTTCCGTATGCCATTGCAAGGCCTGCTCTCTGAGCAGCCAGCCTTGCCGATGAGGATACATGAAGCGCGGCAACGTATGCAGCCATTCGATCCGGAGGCACAGTCACTGCGGGATAACAAGAAAAAGAAAAAGGTGTTCGGATAACGCGCCTGTGCTATAGCGAGGCGCGATTCAGAGTATGCGACTGAGCGCCGCGGTGACGCAAGGCACGCAGGAAACGAGAGTCTGCTTGCCGGACCCCATCGGTTCCCACCACGCGTGCGGAGCGAAGTTTTCCCTTCACGCCAACAGGGAACGCTGTCATTTCTCCTGAAGTCGCGGAGCGGAGCCGCTGCGCAGCTTACGCCTCGCGGACATTGGCGCTCGTCCTGGTTTCCAAACAGCGCATGAGGGATAATGGCATGTAAGTACTGCTCCCGTACTGCACCAGCTCACAATATTATTCACAAAAAAAGTGTACTGAAAGGAATTTGCGAGTTCAGAACGAAACTTTATTTACCATTTTAACGTTTTCTTATAGTGTCCTTAGCACGAATATTTGTTGGATAATTTGTAAATAAGAGCTGCGTTTATTGTAGCATTAACAATAATTTTGGTTGTGACTGCACTATATCTGTGTTGCTTGTTCATGTTGTATTTGGACATTTTTCTTTGTTGTATGAGTGGGCCTGAGTTTGTCGTTTTTCTATTGATTTGTCTGTAACCTTTGCATGCATTTTGAGCGTACAAATACATGCAATAAATTGCATGTATTTGTACTTACATTCATGTGCTGTATTGCACCCTTCTGAAATCCCGTGCTGTATTGGGACATTTTTCTTGGTTGAATGAGTGAACCTGAATTTGTCGTTTTTCTATTGTTTTGCCTGTAACCTTTGCATGTATTTTAAGCGTACAAATACATGCGATAAATCGCATGTATTTGTACTTTAATCATGTGCCCGATTGCACCCTGCCAAAACCCTGGTAGATGTTGCAGTACCAATAAATGAATTTAAATAATACAATACAGAAATAATGGGAAGATGCGAGCTTCGTCACCCCCGACATGCCATTCAGGCATGAAACAGATGCACATGCGCGGTACACAGGTCTACGCCACTGCATCAGCCACACCTTGACCTGAAGGAATCGACTTAATATAAAGTCAATAGCGGTATATCACAGTGATAAAGAAAGACGCGTTGCTCTAGAACATAGCGACACAGCTTAAATAGACCCTTTTCATAAATACGCCACCTGACGGTGAGCTTTTCATCGGTTTCGCTTCGCAAAAGATAGTGGGATAGCTAGCGTCCTCATGAGGGCATTGAAATCGAGCCGAGAAATGCGTGAGCGCTGTGATATTTGTGTTGGCGGATAGTTCTCCGTATAAATCGCTGCAATTGCACCGCTTCCTAGCTTGAACGAGCTGCTAGTACTCTCCGATAAGCTTTCTGAGCTGCTTCCGCTGCACAATGAGCAATATTTTGTACCCTTCAACGGGTTGAACGATCAGTTTAGCTTGTCATGACTGGGAGGCAATGCATGGATCCACCCGGCTAGAGACTCTCATCGGCGTGCCCTCCCGATGCGGTCCACATCCTGCAGGAACGCAGGAGGTGTGTGTGTGCGCTGCAAGAAACGCGCAACAGCATCACCGGAACACACAACCTGCGTCGTCTGCTGCGGTGCCCTCCATATGTCGGCAGGTTGTAGTTCATGTCCGCGGCACTAGGGTACCCTTTTTCGAAAAGGGTCTATAGATTAAACGTAGAGGAAGCCACACCATATATGCACAACCAGCGAAACACTGAAGAATAAAGACAAAAGTATTTAGAAGGAAATTAGTGCACCAAGCGCCGTTCGAAGATGAGCTCCGTCCTCAGACGATTATACAGCGCTGTATAAAATTTATCCTTTGCGTATACTGTACCTTCTGCATACAATAGCATTATACGAAAAGAGAGGACGGTGCAGGCCCATGAAATGAGAAAACAGAGCGCGCTCTTTATGCGTAAGGTAGAAGCGCACTCTCATGGAAACTTGAACTAGGGCGCCTCGCGGCACAATGTGGTCAGGGATAGTGTCGTGTGCAAAACGCAATCTCCGAACCCCTTTCAGACAAAAGAAACCACTGGTGTTATCTCCCGCATACGTGTCTTCTCACCCGCCAGCATTTTCCGCGCCATGGTCGAACGAATCAAATAGCATATCTATGCCTCATAAAAGGCCCAATAAATGACCAGGTTTTGCAGACGCGTAGCACCATCTCTCGTCAGCGACAGCAGTGGCCCACTTTAACTGAAAGGGATATTGGCGAAAAAAATCGAATCTGACGAAAAAGGCTAATTATCAGAAGCTACTCCCGGTTCTACACTAGAGAGACGTAATTAAACATTCTGTTAAAATTACTGTGCCGCGCTACAAAGCGCCTGACTTCTCTGAGTGTCTCGCTTCTCGGATATCTTATAATGTGGCCCCATGCATTTCGTATGGGCGGTTTTCAATTGTTCAGGGAAGCCACACGCTCTGTAGTGAGGAAATAAAATTTCGTTGAAACCTTCCGATGGGTATCTGCTTGGCAGAACCCGGAACTGTTTTCGATAACTCGCTAACTTCAAGCAATATGATTTACTTTTCGCCTATTTCCCATTCAGCTACGACAGGACAACATTGCTGCCACCGAGAGGTGGTGCCACGAACAGATGTCCTCAAATCCTGGCAATAATCCCTCACGTTTTCTTCTGAAGTAGTTTCTAATTACTGCAACGTTACTGCGGCTCTCAGTCGAGGAATGATGATTTTGCTACATATCTAGTAAAATAGACATGAATGTTAGACAAGCAGCATGACGCATGCAGCAAATGGGTGGGGGCTGCGCGCGGGCCCTATCGATGCCTTCGGTTGTCCTGTCATTCGCGTAGTCTTCCAATAACCGCCTAGGCATCGGGGCTTCTATACTTCGGTTGCACTGCGTGCGTTCGTTATCGCGAGTCGCGCACACATCCCCTCGGTACGGAGGAATCGTTTCCGCGTTTTGTAACGCTTGTGTTCGCCATCAGCGCCAATCAGAATTTTCTCCACTACATAAGAAGTGACAATCTTTGGCCATGACGCAAGCGTGTATTCCACCCAAATAACAAGCGGTTGAAGAATGCTGTGGTGGTGGGAATTGAGTGAAACGTAGAGCCTTTAGCGTGTGCTATATATATATATGTGACGTTACGATGACTGGGTGACGTGGCCTGGCTCATACGCCATGTTTATTCCATTCTGCACTTCTTCCTTCCTTGCTTCTACCAACCGTCGCTACCTTCTTACGTCACATGTTTCCCCCTCCCCCCGAAAGAATGCGCGAGCTACATACTAGAAAGCATGAACAAAGGGGGTCTTATAATAAAAAATAATGCCAGAAAATGCAGTAGTTCTATGCCACACGGCGGTTCCGTGCATCTGCACAAAATGATCACAGGAAAGGCAGTCCGGTGATATCTAGGAGACCTCAGGTGGGCGAGGTTGGCTGTTGCGTTCTGGAGAGCATAACGATGCCTTCAGCGTTAAAAATGATGATGGCACAGCCTGGTTAGTATTGAGGAACGAACAAGGTTGGGAGTCCTTGTAGCGTTGGAAGGTCGGATGTCTCATGCGTTGGATTCTGAGTCGTGGCTGCGACAGACGCTTTGCTTCTAAAATGCGTGCTTCTTGACGGATTGTGACGGCGTGATGCCTGCGGGCTGGCGGTATGCAAGAAGTGCTTCCGCATCTTTCTTGGCGTTTTCCGTGGTGTTGCGGTCTGTGTAACTGCAGGCGCAGGGAGCGTCTCTGGCGACTTTCCTCTGTGCGAGAAAATTGGACGTCTTGGAATACTTTTTGGGTTAGAGATCTTATTTTCCACTGTTCTTCAATTGGTGAGTGTGCTTCCGTTGAATTTCGCGTTCATCGATGCCTTCGTTGCAGTCTATTTTGTTGTCGCATGAGGTTGCGCGCTTGGCTATGCTTGCTTTGCTGATGCTGCTCAGGAGATGGCTGTAGTGGCAAGCCTTCCGGAATGGGACGTTCATTTACTTTGAGGTTTGACGCGTCCTGTAGACAGCTGATGCATGGTGAACAGGTTTCTTGCTTATCGGGCATGGTTGGTGGTGCGCCATCATTGCTAGCCTGCTCTTCAGAGGCTTCTGTGACGTGGTTGATTACGGACGCTTCTGAAAGACAACTGTGTACGAGGTTTGATGTATGATTTGCTTCTGAATTGGTTCGATTCTTGGATTGGTGACCACTGCATGAGGGTACCACATGTGACGTCGCATCACCAGGTTGAAAATGCAAATTTCGGCAAGTCTGCGGTGCCGTGGAAATGAACTCTTGTGACAAAAAACATTCAGAGTTGACAGATAGTTCATCAGGGGCTTCTTCCTCGCGGCTCACTATAAGTGGTTCTTGCGCTTGGTAGCATGCGACGTTCGATGCGCCTGAGCCTTCTGTGTTTGGAGTTTCTGGTGGCTGCGCACTGGACGGCAACACCGCAACAGGGGTAGTTCGGTAAGGTTTGAGTTGTGAATGGCCCTCTTTCTGTGCAACTAACGATGCGAGCTGTTCTGGCGCATGAATCTGGGTGGTAAGTCCAGGGCTTGACGTAGCATCGTCCGAGCTCCGCAGCTCTATCCCGACCATTGTGAACGTGCTAGATGTGAGATGGACATTGTGAGTCACGAAAGAGCCAAGCGATGGAAAACAAGGAGGCGGGCCAAGTCTGCGAGATGGGGAGTAAGCTGCTCCAATGCGTGAAGACTGATTTTCACTCTTTGAGTAATCTTGGCGTTGTTTGGTATTTTACCCATGTGTCAGCTGGTCTACCATGATCAAGGCGTCCTTATGACAGAAATAGTGGCCGTTAGGAGCCTTTGAAGAGCTGCGTCGTAGAAAACGAGGTGGTGGACCATGTATGCGAGACGAAGCATGAAAGGCATCAGTAGGGTGAGCGACGTCTCGTGTCGTATGTTGGTGCCACGACTTTGAAAATGCCGACTTTCGTGAAGAGAAACCTGGTGGAACGCCACGTTTCTTGAGAAATAAGCGTGGACTGTGACGGCCGAGTGTGGTTGTATGCAGATGGTCGGTAATGAGGAAGTCCTTGTCGTAGTCGTTAAAACGGGCAATCATCTCTTCCCTGATCTTTTGCCATGATTCGTCGTTTTCGAATATGTGTGTCAGGTAAAACTTGAATGTCTCACCGGAGATGTAGTCAGTGAAGTTGGTGATCATTTCCCGTTCCGACCACGATGCAGCGGTTGTGTGGTGCTCGAACAGGTCGAACCAGTCCTGTACAGATCCATCGTCCGCTGCTCCGGTGTACTTGGGGATGGGAAGGTCGTCTGATGGTGCTGTCATAATGCTGGTCTTGGTGTAGTGTTGGGATGTACTTTCGTGGTCCACGTTAGGTCACTGCGTCTTGCTGAGATGTTCGGAGATGGTGGCTGGTTGTTGAAGTGGCCGCCAGGTCTTCATCCTGTCGACTCGTGTGACGACGTTACGATGACTGGGTGACGTGGCCTGGCTCATACGCCATGTTTATTCATTCTGCACTTCTTCCTTCCCTGCTTCTACCAACCGTCGCTATATATATATATATATATATATATATATATATATATATATATATATATATATATATATATATATATGGGAAATAAGTGTATTCTTAATGGCTCGTTTTTCCGTGTTTGTACACAATAATAATGAGATCTAACCGATAGTAATGCCAAGGAAAGTATAGACGAAGTTAATATATAAAGATCAGGATAATTTACAATGCTGTTCTCTAGATTTTGAAATTGCCGGTGCCTGCAAGTGCGTTTATATGCTGTGAATTGTGTTGATTAAAACGAGCAGCGCATACGTAAATTTCTTGTCGTGGTTTGAAAGAGGAACAGCCGTGTTAAGTGAAGCTGCGGGCTGAGGGATACGGAAGAGTCGGTGTCCGTAGTCATGCCGCAATAAACATTGACGCGTCAGGCAGTTTACGGTACGACGAAGCGGCCTGAGGGCGTGCGGCTGCGCGAAGCTGCGCGCCCCCTCGCTCCTTAGGGAAGAGGGTGCGATGTAGCGTCAAAAATTCGCGCGATCTCGGCTAAGTTATGCGCAATGAAATACATTGCGTGGTCTTGTTTTTATGACGCTCGTCTGCTGAGCACAAGGTCGCGGGATCAAATACCGGCCGCTGGCGGCTTTTTCGGTGAGGGCGAGAATGCTAGAGGATGGTGTGCTTAGATTTAGGATCACGTTGAAGTACTCCATGTGGTCGATGTTCGCGGCACCCTGCACTACACCGTACCATAGGAATATATCGTGGATTTTGCACGTGGAAATGCAGGAACTATTAAAGACGATAGTCTTTCTTGAAGACCTACGACACAAACATTTTGGTCTGTTTGTCTGTACGTTTGTCTGTTTTTCCACCACGAACGGTATTCTAAAAGATACTAGACGATACCCCAAACGGCTGACCCCATCCGCAGCGCCAACCAATAATGCTCAAGATTCAGCATTCATACTTGCGCGATTGTCAATTAAAAAGCAATTATGGCGCATATTTGAGGCATCATAACAATTGCGTCAATATTCTGTATGTGTGCCTTTTAATGGAATATGCATATATAAGTAACTTTAAGGACCGTAGCGCTTATCACGCTACGCTGACCATGCAATGCTTGCACGAAAAGGCAAGTGCTTCCAACGCTTTGGTAAGACGAGATGGTGGTGGCACCTACCCGTCGCTTTGCGTTCTGCACCTTATCACCTCCGAGACGGGTGCGCACGCCGCGCGCTTCGTTTTCCAAGATAACTGCCAGATAGCGCTCATGTCTCACGTGTGACGTGACTTGATGTGCTCGTTCGCCTTTGCTGCACGCTCGAGGCATTCTAATGCAGCGCCTCCAGAATACCATTCACCGATTTTCTTTAGAACATCAAATAAACGTTTTGTTCACTCTCTACAGACGTGCGACTATTATTTTTCGTCATTTGCAGTGTAACACGCAGATACGGTGCCCATTTTCAGTACGCTTAATTTCACTGGAAGGCATCGCAATACTTCGCAAAGAAATAGCAGCTCGCAACACAAAATATTGTAGTACGGTAATTGCGGCACTGTGGGAAATTTCAAGTGACCCAGGACGATATATACTTTGAAAATTAGTATCCGGTGGTTAGCTGGCTGGCACTGTTTTACTTGAAAAAATTGATGTCAACCCTTAACATGGTGACACCTGAAACTGTCACTCTTGCTTTAGAGCTGCTGTGTTGAGCTCTGTTAACTGACTAAAGTGACGCTGACATCATGCAGGCCTCATAGCGAACATCATCCTTCGGTGTGAACGAGACGATTGCCGCATTTTCGTCGCACGATACGGCGCGCATCTCGGGTGTCTGCACGGCACGCCACTGGCTGCTTGGCAGACAACGCGAGCATTCCTGGCGCACTCACGGCGGCAAGCGGTGCCTGGGACGGGAAAACATCGGTGCGATGGCAGGCATTCCAGTTATCATATTACGCACGAACATGCGCACAGTTCTACATCAGAGGAGGGGAGGGGGTTCACTGCACCGTCACCTCACCTGGCCTGCGCATTGGTCGAGAGAGTAAAACGTCTTTATTGATGTTCGAATGGAGAAGGAGTGCGCGGGAGGAAGCCTTCACGCGGGTTCGCCACAGCGCTCCGTCGCCATCTTTCTCGCAAGAGGGGGCAGCTGCGTCACGCCGGCTGCAGACCGACATTCTACCGATTCTCACGCTTCTAAGCAAATTTTACCTGCTCTACTATTCCGGCCGTTCCCCGGCTGCGTAAACTCGCCCACGTCTTTCCATGTTCGCGATCGAAAGGGCTTCAAGCATCAACGAGTCTTAAAGAAAACAAGCTCCGCAATGCATTAAAAAAAAAAGGTGATGAGGTGCTTCTCACAAAAGACTGTCATTGGTCACAAGATTACAAGTAGTAAATTTGAAAGGTGAACAGTTTTTTAGAGCAACGTCAGGGTACATCTGTAGCCATTATCGTCCAAGAAGCACGCGAAGCCAATACCGGGCCTGTGCATTAAAAATGATGTGGACTGCCCTACTGTGTAAATGTATCACAGAGAATCGCCACACCCTGCGCACGCCTAGCATTTGAGAAACGAATGTTACCTTTCAAATCTTTCAGAGTAATTCAGATTACTGCTAAGCGTTATTGAAATGTCAGTGGTACAGGATTTGCATAGTTTGAGCAAGTGTGAGAAGCATGGAATAAAGGAAGGAGGAAAATTGAGCGGCTCAACTTTTTTTGTTGGTAACAATCTTTATGAAAAGGAACAGAAAATTCTGGCTTTATTCTGGCTTCATTCTTCACTAAGAATTGTACGTATAGCGCACGCGCGAATCTTCCTGCACCTGCAGGCCCTTATGGTGTAGGTATTCTTTCGGTCATATTATATGGATTGGTTTTGAGAAACACGTCGTTATAGGTGCTGAAGAATTCACAGTTTGCATGCGTAAAAGTAGTCTTGCTTAGTCCCGCTCAGAAAGGCGTCGACGAGTGAAAATCTAGAAATATTAAGCGCAGTTCTCAGCAATAGGAGAGAGCTGAAAATCACAAGCACACTTTGCAAAAGTGCGCGCTAAAAAATCAACGATGGGAGTGCCAAACTTTCTTCGACTATTCTGGTAAAAAAAAAAAAAAAACGTTTCTAGTTCTTTGGGCGCACTGCCGATAGATAGAATCGCAGTTTTTTCTAAGAAAGCCATGTGATTTGCAAGCTGTGCGTATTAGGCTGAGCTCTAGCGTGCTATGTCGTTAAACCACGTCATCGTTGTTTTTCTTACCAGCTTGCGAGAGCTGTCGTGCCAAGCTACCAGAGGCAAAGGACGAGGAGATACAACATCCCGTAAGTTCTCTCTTGCTTTACGGCTGCTTCCCAGGTCTTGTCTTGTGGCTTTTGTTTCCTGAGGCAAGCTTTGACCACACTGGCCACTTCTCGGGGAACATTTATTGACGGAATTACCTTATTTACGTTACCTGCTCAAACAACTATCTCGACAACAAGATGTATTCATTCTTAGCTGCACGACCAGGAACAAGCGCTCTCTGTGTCGCCTATCTAAAACTCCAACGACAGTGATTTTAGGCATTTCAAGGTCAAATGACTTCCCTCTCGTTAACGAACACAAGATGGTCGAAATTTCCGGAGCCTTCAACTACGCCCTCTCTCACGATCGTAAGGTAATTTTGGCACGCAAACCCCCAGATATTGTTATTATTGCTATTACTATTATTACTATTATTATTAATATTTAATGCTTTTATCAATATTTAAAGCGCTCATTTAAGGAGTTGTACAAGCGAAAAGAAAAATTCGGGAGATCCCACGGGCCTGGGAATCGATGTTATGTGAAGCATGCGGAAAAAGGTGACCGTGTGGCAATTTTTTCATTGAGCGACACGTTATAAAATGAAGCTGAATATATGTGCAAACGTGGCACGCACAGACATATGTTGAAGGTTCATTTGATTGATATGTGGGGTTTAACGTTCCAAAATCACCATATAATTATGAGAGACGCATTAGTGGAGGGCTCCAGAAATTTCGACCCTCGGGGGTTCTTTAACGTGCACACAAATCTTAGCACACGGGCCTACAACATCATATGTTGAAGAGTTGCAGTTTTCCGATGGAGGCGGAAATGTTGTAGGCCCGTGTGCTCAGATTTGGGTGCACGTTAAAGAACCCCAGGTGGTCGAAATTTCCGGAGCCCTCCACTACGGCGTCTCTCATAACCATATAGTGGTTTTGGGACGTTAAACCCCACATATCAATCAATCAAGAGTTGCAGTTCTTAATATAACCAGTTGTTTGCACTTACGCACCTATGCCAACTGGAGCATCCGTATTAGCAACGCCAGAAGCTGATATGAAGCGCTGATGCTTGCGAGGATGCTGGCCCTGGACACTGCTACATAAATCAACTTCAGCGCATGGCAACTGACCACAATTGACGCCAACCCGACGTGACTGCTCTATAGTAAAATGAGTACATATGTAATGTGCCAAAAATTGTGTAAGCAACACTGCAACCTCTATTGACGTTTCACGAAGATTACCGTCTATTTGAAAAGTAGTTCCGAGACCTGGCGTAGCTTTGTGGTAAAATATTTCATTGCCACGCAGAATGCTTGGGTTCAATTTCAGCTGGGATCCTGATATTTATTCTTTGCATTCGTTGGGTCGAGGCTACCAATGTCGGGTATTTCTTAACGCCCACGCTTTAAAACTGGCCATGTGTGTTCTCGTAGTTCTTGGGTAGATACTAAGTGTCAATCACCTGTGGCACATACCCACATACCATCGGCACATACCCACCCGCGAGTATGTGCCACTGTCTGGCGGGAAGTGTTTGATGACGTACGCGACTGCATTTTGACGTGCTTCATGTCTTGACCAGCGCGTCATATTTGTCAAACCATCTTACCCTCCCATGCTAGTTTTGATTCACGCTAAGTTAAGGGGGTGACAGCGAGAGCACCCAAACGTAAGCAGCTAGATAGATAGATAGATAGATAGATAGATAGATAGATAGATAGATAGATAGATAGATAGATGCGCTGAAAGATAGATAGATGCGCTGAAATTCACTGATGTTCTCTGAGAAAAAAAAAATGATTCATAGGACGAAGTCAAGATAAGTGAACACGAGCTATAGAATATAAGACTCGTGTCCGCCTCGCTGGTGTCGTTCTGGTATCATGCTCGGCTGCCACGGAGGAAGGAAAGGTAGGAGAGGACATGCCCAGCCAGCGCGCTACGTGAGAAGTTTGGAGCAAATGACGTCATGGCGGCCATATTCACTGGGCACAATAGGCAGCGTGGCTATGGTTACGTCTTGCGCAGTGGAGCTGGTCTAGCAGTGAGCGGCCGCGGCTGGCGGCGGCATGTGTGCCTCCCCAGGTCTTGTGCTGAGCCGTGGCGGTCAATATCCGTGCTCTGCGCCGCGTTATTGGTTACGCAGTATTCTCCTGGCAGTTACTGTACTCTTAGCAACGTTTACAAATCCTTTTGTCCATCCACTGGGGTTTCAACAGTGCCCAGAACGAGTGCATATTCATGTGTCATGCGGCGGATGACGCGGATGAAGCAATTAGTGTTCAGCGAAATAGCGTTGGGCACCATGACGAAGCTGCAACTACGACAAATGCCTTGCAGGTCAGTCACGGTTGGGCAGTGCTCCTGCTTGTGACAATGGACGACGCTGTTGAGCCCTGCAAGACGCAATGAGGACCATGTGCACATACGTAGATTCGTGTTGTGTGTGTACAGTAACAATTTGCATGTGCGTATTTAAACACCTTTTCTCTTCCGCTTCGTATGCTCTTCCCAAGCATTGCATGTGATCTCAACGTAACAGCAACCGCGTTCAGGTGTCACTTGCACCGTGCTCAAAGTCACCACGGCCGCAAAATGCTGACGCCGGTGAGTTTCCCGCAGAACACGGACACAGTGGCCGGACGCTGCGTCGGCCGCGTAGCGGAATGCTCGCTGTTGTCAATGCATCTCGCTGTTGTCAGTGCTGTTGTCAGTGCATCTATAGCGCGCGTTCTCTTGTTCTTGCTTCATTGTCGGTGAGCTGTTACTCGCTGTTAATACTCGGACGAAATAATTTCGCCGAAGGTGTCGCGCTGGCCCAGAGTGTTGAGCCCCGTTCCTTTTGTTTCGGATCGTCATGACACACGCGCCGCGCAGCTCACGTGCTTTCCGAGCCGGAGAGAGAGTCGTGCCCTGTTCTTTACATTCGGATGTAAACAAGAGAGGAGAATTTGCCCAGTCAATATTGCCGACTTCCGGCTTCATCACAGCTTCACAACGAGTGACGTCAGGATCTCTCCTACCTTTCCTTCCTCCGTTTCGGCTGCTGACGCGAAAGTCGTGGGCATGGCAGTCGCACTTCAATCCTAGAGGTCAGTGAACTGTGCGATGTCAGTGCATGTGAAAGAACACCAGATGGTCGAAATTTCTGGAGCCCTACGCTCTCGATTGCCTCGCAATCACACCGGGCTTTGGGGACCCCAGCGTATTATTATTACTATAATGAGGCTTGAGCTGTGGCAAGTAAACTTTAGACTGTTCAAAAAATTTCAATAAGATAATTACCAACAAAACGTCCGTCTTGCAGAAGGTGCACTACTCGAAGCGAATAGAAGTAACTATGGGTTAGCATATTATAGAGGCAGTGAGAGAGAGAAAAGAATTAAGGGAAAGGTGGGGAAGTAAACCAAGTTATAGCCATTTTCTACCCTACACCGTGAGATACAGAGGAGTATGAAAAGAAAGGAGGAAGGAAATACGAAACAGAGCAACTAATACGCACGCATACTCAGCTTCTCGGTATGTAAGAAACGAACTTAGTTTAAAGTAATGTAAGGAACAAATGTCACAGCTTTGCCACAAAGGCGAAGTAATGAACGTGATAGCAACAAATTGGAAGGTCATGTGCAGAATGGCAAGCAGATTGAAACGTGCCCAGCGTCTCTCACGCACAGAGGACGCACGAAACGTACTCACAGGTACAGATGAACGCGAATAAGCGCCTCAGTTTTTACTTCGCAGTGTCTTAAAAGCGCGCCCTTTTGCAAACGGAGGCTGTGCAACGATTGGAGTGACCTTTGTGCGCTCCATAACAACAACAGAATCGTTCCAGTGTAAGTTCACCGCGAGCCAATTTGTGTGATCCTCCCCGCCAGGAGATAAGGGCGCGCGAGAGACCGTCCACTCCCCTCCTCTCCGCGAGCCAAAGTACGCGTGAGAGATGAGAGCTCCATGCACTCATTGCGCCATCTTGGTGATAACGCTGAAAACATGATAGTTCGCGCCCCCCGAGATGCCCGCCAACAGTGGTAAGTGGCAGATATAAATAGCTTGCCGTTTGACTGTTGCAGGAGCTATATCTCGGTGGCTCAGTGATTAACGCCTTGCGTTCACGACGCGGAGGTCCCACGTTCGATTCTGTGCGCCGGTGTCTTTTTCTGGATTTCTTTCTTCCTTGCGTTTTCATATATATAGATACATATACATATAGGTACATGACGTCGACGCCGGCGCCGGCAGCAAAATCCAGCCGAGAGTGTCCATATAATTGCTATCGCAATAAAAACAGGGAAGATTGTAATGGAGTCACACTCGTTACAGGTGCAGGTTAACAGCACAGTACGGTATTGAAAACTAGTGTGAAGCAAAAAAAAGAGAAAAACTCAGAAAGAAATGGCCAGACAGCTAGGCAGCGATAGATGCAACAGATTAAATAATGCAATCTTATAGCAGGTTGGCTCTTCACCTGTCACCGCCCCGTTACGGAGCTGACGTCAGCCATTTCGACTGTGTTGCATGCTTGCATCCCACCATCAAGAAGTAAATGAGTATGTAAGCTTCTTTTATCTCTCTGAAGCAAGAAATATCACCGCTGTACCTTCTATAGTCATTTTATGGTGATTTGGTTGTTTCTGAATGGGTAAGGACACCCAATAGAGAAAATACGCCAATTTCTTTTAAACAGCCCGAACATGCCAACAGTTTGCTACAACAACAACAACAACAACAACAACAACAACAACAACAACAACAACAACAACAACAACAACAACAACAACAACAACAACAACAACAACAACAACAACATATATTATTATTATTATTATTATTATTATTATTATTATTATTATTATTATTATTATTATTTGGAGCTTTACATCCCCCCTAAAAAACTATGATTATCAGGGATGGCGTAGTGAAAAGCTTCGTAAGTGTCGACAAGAGCTGTGGACGGGCTGAATTTGAGAGCCCGAACCCTGCCCGGGCCCACCGGCTGCCTCGAAGGACGGCCCGAGCCCGATGCTAAAGTGCTGCGAGCCCACCGAGTCCAGCCCGACGTACAAAAAGAAAAGCACAGGCCCCGACCACGCTGACATTATGAAAGTTTGCTGGGGAGACAAGATGTTTTCTGATAATTCCGCGTTTTCTTCAACACATCAAAATAAAGCATGAGCAAATGACACACTACAGTCACAATGTGCAACGATTGCAAGCTGTCGTAAAAAAATTTGCTGTACAATGATTCGGGCTTCTGTGAAGCGTGGTGCTCCTGCGTCGCACATCCCACACAACTGAAGGCGTCTTCACTGCTCGCACTGGTGGCCCGAATCGTCAATATCTTTTTCGGAAGCATAGCAAGCTTGGAATATTTAGACCGTTTCTTCTTCCAGAAGTTTAATACCTGAAATGTACGAGAGGAAAATATTCCATGTGTAGCGTCAAAAGGCTCATCTTGTGTGACGTCGCCTTCTCCTCTTCCGTTTTAAACTAGCTAAAAGAAAGGAGTACCAAAAAAGGAGGTGGGGTGGGGTTTGTCTAGAAAGAGGCACAAGTCTGTGAAAAACAGTTCCGGCATGTCGAAATTTTGAGCTTTATTCAGGCTTTGCATTTGACACGGCCCGCCTGACAAAAAGTAAATAAGAACAATGCAGCCCGAAGACAGGTGAAAGACACAACCAACATAGACAAAAATATTACAGTATATCCACGGAGTGAATGATCATGAGTTGGTGAAGCTGTGAAGGTTTATCGGTAAAAACCGTAAATCTTCCGCTGAATCTTTCCCAGTACATCATCAAACACGGAAACACGGCCATACGTTTGGACGTCTGCCTGTCTGTTCTGTTCGTGTCCTACGCATCGGAGTGGAGTGAGCGCCGCAGTGCCATCGCCATCTCGTGAGAACTCCGAGTACTAGGAGTGGCTACGATGGCGGACAAGCCTGCACCTCAAGGACCCCCCCCCCCCCCCTCCTAAAGAAAAGAAAGGGGACGGGATGGAGCGTCAACTTGCCACAGTCCCCTTCTACTTTTGTACCCTTCATTTTTCCGCCTACGTGGGTTGCGTCCTTCACATTTCGTGAAAATGAATCAAAGAACCCAACAACACGTTTTCGTGATATGCAGCCCGAGCCCGGTGCTGAGCCCGAGATGAGAAAACGTTGGCCCGCCCAAGGCCGGCTCTCTGGCTGGGGTGGGCCTTTCGGACTCTCCGAAGCCCCTGTACATCTCTAATATGGATCACCTGGTGTTCTTTAACATGCACTAACATCGCGCAACACACAGGCATCTACCATTTCACCTCCTTCGGAATTCAACCACCTCGGGCGAGATCGAACCGGTGACCTTTGGGTCAGCTGCCGAGCACCCTAGCCAATGATCGACCGAGGTGGAGTTTGGTACATGTGATTCAATACAAGTATTGGGAAGTTTTTTACGCAAACTCGCAGGGTGCCCCAGAACGCACTATAGTGTGCTGTAGAAGGTGTATACTCTCTGCTCTGGGAACAAACAGGAAACGAAGCACAGTGCGATGATGCCGCTTATCGAGTGAGGCAGGCTTTCGTGAACCCACATGCCAATGGCTTATATTGTCGCGCGTTTCACTTGAACCAACTCTTCTATCTGTGAACGCAGTTCAGTGTCGAGGCATTTCTGGACAGCGGGGAGTTCACAGATTTCGAGTTCCGAGTGAAGCCCGAAGACCATCCCCACATTCCCGAACGGAAGTTTCGTGTGCACAAACAGTTCCTGGCCATGAGAAACGAGGTGTTCTACGCCATGTTTTTTGGAGACCTGGCGGAGAAAAGTGAAGTGGTCATCACTGACTTACACCCGGATGGCTTCGAGTTGCTGCTCAGGTGAGAAAATCCACAGGGCTAACTGCATGCATGTGCTGCATGCAGATAGCCTGTTTCACTTATCTCGTTTCATTTCCGAATGTGTAGAACTCATTCCGAAGAGGAAAGGTCGTGTAAACCGAAAAAGAAAAAAAAAAAAACGTGCTGTCGATATTTGGAGGGGCCACCCACTCCAGATAAATTGGCGTATTTAGATACTTTCGAATTTACAGTAAAATGATGCTTAGGTTGCTCTAAATCAGTAGGCGAAGAACGACAGGTAAACAGGTCACGGCACTATTAATAATTATTTTATGAAATAGGCTGGATTCTTTGAGCTAGTACAGAACCACCTTTAATGTTTACTACGAAATTTATGCAAATTGCAGCCGCGAATACACGACAAATTTAGTTTAATCAAATCTCCACCTATAATCTATGAACGTGTATTAATTTTTTTGTAGACACTGATTTACCTTAAGGTATAGCAAAACTAATGATACGCACTGTACACCAACATAAAGTCAATAAGCAAACGGTTGCGAATCCTTCAGAAACGCTGCGGGAAGTGATGCATAAAACTGCAGTACAATTTTAGGAGAAAAGGGCGAAAAAAGTGTTGCGTAATTCAGAAACTCACTTCGGAGAGAAATAATTTATTACTGTGCAAGGGTGATCTCTGCGCACAAATCACGACGAGGCACGCATACGTATGTGCGAAAAAGATGAGCGGACAAGCAGCCTGGGAGTGATCCTTAGGAGACCCATATCACAAAGCGAAGGACAGAAAACATTGTACAGAATCCGAACTCTGAAATGGGTCGAACTCTCGAGTGCTTTCTAGTGGGTCGACCCAAAAAGGATGCCGCTCGCGCTGTGAGTCCGTGCTTGGCCGTGACAGTCACCATAGCGTATGATCGCTGGTTGCCGGCTAATAAACGCCTTAACAACAAGAATAACTGCAAAACAACCCAAATAAAAAACACGCATAAAGCAAAAACAAAAAGCTGATTCAGAAAGGGCAATTTCAGAGCCATTTCAGGCCATCAAACAGGTTAGGTTGCCTCCTTTTGAACATTTCAGTAAACGTGACCATTAAGTTTGAAGAGCAAAACTTAAAATAAGCAACACGAGGTAACGACAAGCAAGTCGACATTCACGTAGCTTGAAATAAATGTTGCCGTTATTCAGATGCAGAAAATTGCGTGGTGTGAATATTTGTACGCCGATAGTAAAATACGGTACGTATACTGCACTATACGGTACGTATACGGTATGTATACCAGAGCTGCAGTGATAAGGCAGATGATGGAACGCACCAATTTCGATTACCGTTCCTTCGTTTGTCAAAACAAACGTTCAGGAAATCTATATTTTTATGTAGGATTTAACGTTCCAAAACCGCCATGTGTATATGAGCGACGCCGTGGTGGAGGGCTTCGAAAATTTTGATCACATGGGGTTCTTTAACGCGCACCAAAATCGCAGCACGCGGGCCTACAACATTTTCGCCTCCATTGAAAATGCAGCCGCCTCAGCCGGGATTCGATCCTGCAACCCAATGCTAAGGCAAGAGAATACAGTCGAGCATGGTAGAATATCTGCAATGTACTTTTGTAGTGAATAACATAACGAAACTCACACGACGAAGTCGGTTATGGAAACTACTTATGATTTGGCACTTATTGACGATAAGTTTGTCAGACGTCGGTGTTAATAGGTTCACGATGATCATGATGAACCGCCTGACTGATGTGTCACGTTCGCGCTCATACATCGACAAAGCTTCGCTCATGAAGCCGATCAGTTTGGTGTCTTCTCATCTAACCTTGTATCTATGCTTTCAGGTATCTGTACTCCGGCAAGCCCAAAATGAAGAGCATCGACGATGCCTTGCACGCTAGGTTTGCCGCCAAGAAGTACCTGGTTCAGGGACTAGTAGACGCCTGTGGCACCTACATCGAGAAAAACCTCAAGCCAGATCGTCTGTGCTCCTTCATAGACTACTACATGCAGAGCAGGGAGCCAGAAATGGACGCCATCGCCGAGACAATCTTGACGTCATCCAAAGCACCGGAAATCCTCTCGTCGAAGGAATTCAATGACGCCCTGGAGGAAACAGGTTCGATACATCGTTGATAGGATAAGGAAGGTCTCCGAAGACAGCGTTACCAAAGCCGTGTTTGGCTGGGCCCAGGAGCAGTGCGTCAGAAGCCTGGGGTCAGAAAGCCCGCTGGAAGTGAAGGCACTGATGCGCTCATTCTTTCCCATGCTACGTTTCCTGACCATGACGCCAGAAGAGTTCGTGGTGGGACCTGGTTCCTGGGGTCTGTTTGAAGACGTCGAAAACCTCGCATTGCTGCGCAATATTGTGAAGTGCGGCTCTTATCCGCTGCCCGAAGGATTTTGTGGCGTCACTGCTGACCGCTTCTAGTTGTGAGCACAGTATAGCGTCCACATCGCTATAGAACCTGCGAAGGCCATTGATCTCGTTGTTTTAGGGCCATGTTTATTAGGGCAATGTTGTCGGCGTGTTTTAAATTATCAGAATGTCCATGGTTTGAAGATTGCGCAACGTTTCGCTGATTGCCGGAAAGTGGCAAGAGATGACGTGCAGATTATAATTATACTGTGACAATGTATGCAAGAAAGTGGAGCTAAATGTCAAAAAAGACTTGTCCGTAATGAACTTTTCGTGCAGTACTCGAAGGAAAATTTTGGTAACGTACATGACAAGAACATCAAAAAAAATTAATGACTGCACTGCTCTGCAAATTTGTGCGGAGCCGAAATGCACACATGATTGGACGTAATATGTATTTGGTAATTGTCACTCTGGCGAAGGTGTCACCTTATTGCAGCGGATTGGTACCATAAACAGAAATAATGACAGGTTAGTATTGTATGAACTTCAATTATAATTATCTATACAGTCGAATAAAGAGAAAAAGAAAATATGCATTTTGCCTTCTAGACGTCTTAGATGAATGCACAGAAGATAGTACGACTTCTGGTAGCTGCGTGTGTGTAGCCAAGGACAGTGTCGCCGATCGGTCAAACACCATCTAAGCGCGAATGAGTCGTGAGAATGGGTTAGCCAGTGTTGTCTGGCATTCTTATTTATCCAATCACCCAAAAGAGACTGAACATTCACAAGACCAAATAAAGGTCTGCCAACAGTTCCCAGAATGCAACTAACATATCTTAACCCGAAAAAAAGAACAATACCCGGCACGATGAGCTTTATATTGTGAAGTGTTGGGCGTTCTTTCTTTCAACGTGCTGTAATCTGCTTTTTGTGGACTGTTTCATTACGATTGTTCACGCATTATTCATTTTTTACAATATATTTTGTCGTTATTACTAATATGCACTGTAGCACTGTTCTGTACGAGTTCATTTCTGATTTCACTGTAACCCCCCTTACTCAATGCCTTCGTGTATGTAAGGTATTTTTCAATAAATACACAAAAATAAATAAACTTGTTTAGTAGGTATTTAGTTTATTAACTCGTGTTTATTTCTGTCCAAGAACCGCGATATCAGTACGAGGCACATCACAAATGATGATCCGGAAATTTCGCCCATCTGGTGTTCTTTGGCGTGTATAGTGATATTACACAGTACACGGCATTTCGCCTCAGTCAAAATTCGACAGCCACGGCCAAGGTCGAACACGTGGTTTTGGGTCAGCAGCCGAACACTTGGCAGAGAAGAGCAGTTACACTTTGCTTTACACTGTTTGCTCAACGTAGTGTCAGAAATGAAACAGAGGACATGTTGAAATTAAAGAATTTTACAGTGACTGACGTCGGTGACCAACTTTTAGCAGCCAGTGAAAAAAAAAGAAAAACACAAAAACGCTCATTGCTGAAAAAATTATATCTTTTACAAGCTTTTCGACGTATGGGGGAGCTAGCAGACGTTGAAGCAGCTAGCACACTTTACATATGCACTTAGATGCGAGGACAACCAGCTAAAACTCAAGACAATGACGTCGAAAAAGGTGCACTTCTTCCCACACCGTCCCTGGTCTTACAACAACCTTATCCGCGCAGCCGCGTACACTTGACCTCCTTATCCCACCCACACGCACAAGGTACAACCCGAAGCCTATCATCCTCCTGGTAGTCAGCCACACCGTGACAGAAACAGCCATCATTTTTTTTTTGTAGAATGCACACAAAGCCCACCTATGCAAACGTGCTCATTCTTTCCTATGTCGCACGCCTCAAGCAGTTCGCGTTGTTAGAATGATTGAGTTTCCGTTGCTTGACCTTTCTCCTTGCTTAGAATGCCAGCTTGGCTGAACAGAGGCCTGCAAATATTCCACTCCTTCGTATGCAACACTTGGTTGCTACCTGTGCCCCATCGCAGGGGCGTAGCTAGGGGGTGGAACACCTGGAACGTGCTCCCTCCCTCCCTTCCCAAATCTTATTCGCGATGGCATAAAGAGCGCAAAATGGCCAATCAAGGGGTTCATCATCATCGTCAACCTATGTCCACTGCAGGACAAAGGCCTCTCCCACGATCCGCCAGTCAACCCGGTCTTGCACTTGCTGCTTTAACTTTATTAAGAGGGTGCCCCTCCAGAAATCAAAGTGGACCCCCCCCCGCCCCCGCCAAAAACAAAAATTTGGGCTACGCGCCTGCCTCATCGTACACTGTAAGCGTGCTCTTTCAGGCGTTCATTGAAACACTGCCCCGTCTGGCCGATATAGAAACGTTCCCACTATGTTCCAAAGATAGAATGAACTACCCTCACGCTGGGCTTTGTGAAAGTACTTCCGATTGCTGGTTTTACATGGCTGAACTGCGGTCACCACCCGAGGTACGGTTGCAAAAGCCAGAAATATTGCGGGGTGATGACCACACCAGGTTCACACGAAACGTTTAGGACACTCGTTTTAGCGCTTGAGACGTCCTGAGAAAGAACGGAATCACCCAGATGTTCCGCGTCTCACCCAGTGGCCGGGCATGCGGTGATCTCGTTTTTCTGGCTGACGTTTAGCCAGCCGACCACGAAAATGGCGAGGGGAACACAGATGCTGTTTTCTCCTCCACCTGCTCTGCCGGGCTTTGCTCCATGATGGGCTGGCAGTTTTTGTTCAGTGCATTCGTAAAACACAGATCCGCGATGCTTCTTTTCAGCCAACTTCGAGTGTGCGGATTCGCAAGGCAGAATGGCCTTCTTAGACCCGGGGCGTGCTTTGCCCGTCGTGGGAAAAATGTATTTAGAAATCTAGAAAACTAATAGCCTTCAGAGCTGGGACTTCATTAGCAAATGGTATGTTCCTAGAGCAGGCTATAAGAACGTGTAAAACTTTATCTGCCACGTGAGATAACTGGTAAGTATGTGAGAGGTTAAAGAAGATTCAGAAATCATCAAAGTATTTATACATCTTTACAACGTGTGCATCATTAAGTGCTTAACTGAGGCTCAATCGAATATCTGAATTGAGCAGCACTGGCGCGATGCTCAATCCTCTTTCTTCGACCAACATGTATGTTCCTGTCCATATTAGTTGACCTTTAATACCCACTAAAAAGTTCCGCAGGAAAGACTCTGATAAAATTCCCCAATTGTTCTGCTATGCAACAGCCCAGTTTTCCTTTCAGTTCGCGCACTGCTTCCGAAAGACAATCCTGGAGAATGGACACGACCTTTTTTTTTTTTTCGTTGACCAGATGTAAGTAGATGTTGGCGCACAAATAGGGCGCCGGCTACTCCTTATTTTTTTTTTTTAGGTGTCTAACATAGAGCACGTAGGGTCCAAGTCTCCGAGCGTAACGAGTCCACAGCCCATACAATATACAGGAAGGAAGGAGGAATAAATGAGGAAGGACAGGGAGGTTGGCCAGTTCTCAGACCGGCTGGCTACCCTGTACGGGGGAAGGGGGTAAGGGGGATAAAAGATGAGAGAAAAGAGACGTTGTAAAAAAAAGGAGAGAGAAGGTCATCAGACGATCCACGACGCTGTTTACAGTCTGTCTCTAAGACCACTTGCCCGCAGAAAGCATATATACAATTTAGCATAACAGTTAGGACACGAGATTTCAAAACAACGCATTCAACAATCACTTATATGCGTATATACCATGATGTTATCAGATTTAAGAGCACCCACTACACACAGTCAACAGTCAACAGTACCATAAATATGCGCTGTCACGTAAAAAAAAAAGAAAAACCGAAATGCACTAATGTCGGCCAAGAATTCCACTGCGTTCAAAAAAAAAAATCTTTCTATGCTTTTACAGCGCGCTTGTGGAACCTCTTGTTGCTCAGGAGCCCAACAGTTTCATTAAACTACTGTGATTAAACTGTTGTTGTGTTGTGTTGTCTGTGATCGAATGTCTTTGAGGATGATCTAAGTATATGCATTTTGGTCTTTCGTGCACTCTAGAAGGCAGTGCTTTACGTCTTCATCCACGAATTCGCAATGAAATTAGAAAGCTTCAGCGTGGCCAATACTGCGTAACAATACTTGGTGTAGGTGGTGACTAATATTGATCAATGAATAAGAGTTTCGACACTTCTGCCTAGAGATAACGAAATTTCAAATTCAATTAATGGATTTATATGGCATATATCAGATCCTTTTGGAGTTTTAGTTAAGCCACGTATTTTTACAAATATAGAAAAATTTGTTTTGTCTTTGAAATGTGACGCAATTCATTTTTGGATATTGGAATAGAAACGAAGGCATCCCATTGTGTGCTTCCCATGCCGATGCATCAGCTGCCGTGTACGGCACTCATGTTGCAAGTGCCGGTATCCACTGAAACATTGTTCCACTGAAACATTGTTTCATGGTGCTTTTGGTTTGCCTTTATGAGCTCTTCAGGTGTCTCGTAAATCAGATCGTCATTTATTGTATTCGCTTTTGTGCTACAGAGTGACGTAAGTGCCGCTTGTGAATCACTAAAATTACCCATTTTTTAGTATTTCTTGAAGAATTGATATATTTTAATGTGCTCCGATTAGCGAATAATTCAGTTCTTGTAGACGATGTCACGCGAGATGACGTAAATGAATCTTCTAGATTGAGGTGGGGTACAACAAATGTTCAATGTCGACAGGAAAAACCACATTCATATTGGGGAAACCACTTTTCCTCTGCTTCACAATGAATAGCGATCTCTGCACCACGAAAAGATCTTCCGGCGCAAGACCCTTCGTGACCCGTTGAAAGAAGCTTCACCACCAGCGTTTGCCAAAAGGCCTCTTCAGCCGTGCTTGCCTTAAGAGGACAACCAGGGCTTCTGAGTTTTCACAGTGAAGAGCACTCGCAAAGCCATTTACGTCATTTGCGGATTTCCTCCTAAAAACCATCCAAATCACGCTTACTTATGATGCCAAAAGCTACGGCCTTCGCTTTTCGATGTTTTAAATTCAAAATCTTGAAGTTTTGCCACTTGTTTCAGACGCATTCAAGTCGAATGCAGGGAAGAGCACGACAACGAACCTACATTCTTAGTTTGCTTGAAGCAACTTGAGATTACTCCTTTCAAAGTGGGCTACCACGCGTCTCAAGTCCTCGCTTTGCCTGTTGACACCCCAAGTTTCAATTAGGCAGTCATTATCTTGCGAGACGCAGCGGTTCCTTTTTCAGTCGGTGACTTTGTGGCGACCCTGTTCCAATTCACTAAGATTTCATGGTTTTGTTCTGGTGGCTCCAAGCTGAACTTGGGTTACGGCAAGGACGCTCCGTTCATGCAGGTGACGAGAGTGCAAGTTGATTTTTATCTGGTTTTCTTGTTTCGGCTTGGTCGAAGCTAAAACCACTGCACTTTTTTATGTCTAGTAGTGAGGAGCCGATGTCTCCGAGATTGCTCGAGACAACCAAGGGTGGTTGAGATTGTTGGCATAAATGGAACCGTCATCCTTGTAGGTGCTTGCTGATAATGCTCTGACTTCACTATCTTGCAGGTGCACATCCATGCGGAAGGTGGCAACAGGCCAAACATATGAAGTATTTCCAATAGCTGGAATGCCAATTCTGGGACAATCGAACAATGCATGTGCGTGGTGTTGGCAATTGCGCTGGAGCAAGAAGCGTAAAAATCCGTTGAAGAATACAGACGCAGAAAAGAACCCAGGGTACAATAGTAATTGAAGCGTGAAAAGCTGGGACCGGTTGGCTCATGTTTGGATGCGAGAAAAACTCCATACAAGGACGAAAAAGAAGGCGTATTCAATCACAGATCGTCGCCGAACTTACGACCACTTTATTGACACATCCACGTATACCTAAACAGTTCTATCCCGCACACGTGCACAAAGTACCACGTGAAGCCTATTCGGCTTCGCGTTGTATAGCTGAAACTGTATAGACTGGATTGTGTATTATGGATTTTCGTGATGCGGTAATGATCGCCAGCCATTGTGACCACACCATCACAATCATAGTGCTGCTCGAGCGACCCATCATTCGTATTCTCGTTCAGCGTATTCCAATTGAGAGCACTCATGCATGTTCACAAGTCTACGTAT